AAGTTTGGAAGTCATTGGGTCCTCAGCATCTTAAAATGCTTCTGTCTTCTACTGCTGCACAAATGTAGTGCTGAAACTACATAGGTGACCTAATTTTTTATCCCACAAAGCCAACTCCCATACAGTATAGTTCTGCTCTGAAAAGAGCTTCTTGAGAAATGAGATTGCATATTAGCTCCCAAAAATATCCGAACTAAATCATCTCAGTGTTCATATATAAAAAGGTGTGTGTGTGGTTTTTTTTTTTTTTCCTGCTTGCTGCCAGTCCTGTAAACTCAGTCTGGAATGAGGCAGTCAAATTGTTATTTTTCTGGAATGCAGGGATGGGAACTTCTGCCTTTGGACCATTGCTGTTGATAGTGTGTGAACAGAATAAAATCTCTTGTCTCTCGCAGACCTATGAATGCCTGGTTGAGCTACTGAGAGTAACAATGCAAAATCCTCTTGGTAAAGGCAATAAACAGGACCCCAAACAGACCCAGAAAGCAGAGCAGTTGTGAAAGTGGCATTTTCCTTCCATCTCCAGAACAGATCTGCATCAGGTTTTCAGTTCAGTAGGAAGGAAGGTGATAGAGAGAAAATGGTTTGAAGAATTCATATTTTCTTGTATAGAACTCAGTAGGAGGCATTTTTTGTTTGAGTTGCAGCAGGAGGAACACCCAGCTGCTTGTGAGAAGGCAGCACACAGACGGGTAGCTCTCTGCGGCGCGTGTAGGTGATCTCTGTGTTCACTGCGTGAGCTAGCCTTGGTTAGCAGATCTGAGCTGTGGTGCCACGGTGTGTATGGCAGAACAGGCTGTGACCCTGAAGAAGTAACTGGTTTTAGGCAGAATTTATCGGATATCAGCTCGGGTATGTCTCTGCCAGCCCTGCCTGTAATGGCTCAGAGATTGGGTGCTATTCCCATGGATCAGCCCCTCGGCTCCTCTCCTGCTGGGGAGAAGAGGCGGCTGCTGCTCGTGGAGCAGTACCTATCGTGCTGAACGGGGCTCTGTCATGATCTCAGATATGGTTACTGAAGTACATTGAGTCACTGAGCCTTGTCAGGGTCAAGGGCAGAACTTCTGTGGCTGTGGTTGGGCTTGGCTTCAGTCACGTTTCTGGGCTTCGTTTTCCTCTGGTCTAGGTTTCTTCCATTTCCTCAATAGTTATTCTCTTATAATCTCAGTCTACAGCACTGCCGCTATGGCTGGTATTTATTATGTTTGTTTTCTTTCCTCTGATCAGGATCTGTCATCCGTGACTTCACTTTAACCTCCTGCATGGAGTGAGGGGAAACAACTTTGTGGACAGAAGCAGCTAAACACTGAGAGAGTAGAGCTATTGCTCACAAGGTGAGGAATTGATTTGGCTAAGATAGAGAATGACTGGGAAAGGAAGAAAAGAGCTGAATGCTGAAAATTTGATGCGCACTTTGGTGCGTACTCATCCTGCTTCCTCTGTTCCTATATTATATAGCTTCATCTTTCTGCTTTCAAGAGATTCGTAGCCCAGGGTATGATAAAGATGAAACACAAACACACAGTCCTTGGGAATCTAATACCCTTTCAAAAGGAGCCTATCCAAAATGAAATCAAATCCCATGTATTTTTCAGCATTAACACCATACTTAGGAGGAGTAAATAACTAAAGCATGGCTTTTTCTTCCTTTCATTCTAACAGTATTTTTAATGTTTTATTGGCCGGTTAGCTGCCTCAGGGTTCATTCCTTGGGCCAATGCTATACATTTGTTTGTATTACAAATATTTTTCAGCCCTGATTTTTGTAAAAGACACTTTTGGAAATCAGTGTAGCCAATGTGACGTTGTCTCCCAAAGTCAACAAATCACCTGAAACAAAACCTGAGGAGCTTATCCTACTGTATTCATCTCCTATTCTGACCTCCCACAAGTAAAACAACAATGTTAAGTGGTTCACTACTGACTCTGTAAGCATTGCTCTCCTGCTAACCTCATCCGTTACATTCCAAGATTCATTTCCAAGTTTGTTCTCCAATATAAATAATAAAAACCAGGCGCCTCTAAATGTTTCAGTCCATATGTTCACTTGCATGCTTGATTAATAAAAAGAGTTTATCATACTGCTCAATCGCCTATTTGTTCTATAGACAAAATTTAGATACAATTTGCTGCAGAATACTTAGGGCTTTCTTACTAAGGAAAAGGTCTATGCCTGAAAAGGAGGAAAATAATCTGTTTAGCAGGGGTAGGTGTTCCTGTGGTATTGTGTGGTTCCTTACATGATTAAGCATGGGAATGCTGGAAGAAGAGCAGCCATAGGTGATGGGAAGAGAAGCGGGGAAGAGAAGTAGTTACCTTGGAGGTTGTTGAGGAGCGCGGGAGTTTTGAGGACAAGCAAATGACAAGTTTTGTCCCTATAGTTGTCACTTTATGACAGAAGAAGCTCTTTGCAATCCATGCTACAGTAGCCACCTGTTCTCGTTTCACACTTTCTTCCTCTCTCCTTTCCCACGTTCCTTGGTCTCAGATCCCTCACTCCGCCCAGAGAAGAATACCAAGGGCCTAGTTCCTACAGCACTGGCTATCGGTGACTGATGTACAGCAGATCTCTGGCAGTTGCCTTTTTTGGATTTCTCTCTCAGAGAAGCAGAGGGGATTATTTATTGCTAGTTCCTCTGTTCACTCCAGCAGGTGGCAGGACCATGAGCGACCCAAACAAGGGCAAGCTCCGTCAGGAAAGTCCTGTGAAAGCAGAGCCGCATCTGCTCACCTCCAGAAAGCTCACAGGAGATACCCCCCAGGACTCCAATCAAAGACAAGACTGCAAGCAGGAGCTGGAGTCAGAAAATGAGGTGGACCTGTCTTTTAGAAAGGGACAAGGAACAATAACTCCCTGTGGGTTAGAAGTCTGGGAATGCGAGGACAGTGGCAGCGCCCACATCAGCAAGGTGATCCTCACTGGGGACAATCCAGGCCCACCTGTGTGTGAGAATGGCTCGGTCTGGGTGCAGCAGGTGGGGGAGAAAACCTACGAGTGTCCTGAATGTGGGAAGAGCTTCAGCCGGAGCTCATACCTGAGCCAGCATCAGAGGATCCACCTGGCAGAGAAACCCTTCAGCTGCTCCGAGTGTGGGAAGAGTTTCACGCGAAACTCGGACCTCATCAAACACCAGCGTATCCACACCGGCGAGAAGCCCTACCAGTGCAACGAATGTGAGAAGACTTTCAGCCAGAGGTCCAATGTGATCAGGCACCAGCGGACCCACACAGGAGAGAGACACTACCAGTGCAATGAATGTGGGAAAAGCTTCAGCCAGAATTCGCATCTCATCGTCCATCAGAGAAGCCACAAGGGTGAGAAACCGTTCAATTGCCCCCGGTGTGAGAAAAGCTTCAGTGACCGCTCCTCCCTGATCATCCACCGGAGAGTCCACACTGGAGAGAAGCCTCACAAGTGCCAGGAGTGTGGGAAGCGTTTCCGGGACAGCTCAGCCATCATTCGGCATCAGAGGATCCACACGGGAGAGAAACCGTATGAGTGTACAGAGTGTGGGAAGACTTTCCGCCAGAGCTCCTCGCTGGTGACCCACATGAGGACGCACACGGGCGAGAAGCCCTACAAATGCCCTGTGTGTGGAAAGGGCTTTAGCCAGAGCTCAGCGCTTACCACTCATCGTCGGATCCATGCGGGAAAGGCCTTGCCCGTGTTCCACAATAGCCTGCTGCCCAACCCTTACCAGTGCACCGAGTGCGGCCGGAGGTGCAGCGACCACTCCACTCTCATCAAACACCAGAGCGCGCACGCAGAAGAGAGGCCCTACATCTGCGTGGAGTGCGGGGACAGCTTCCGACGGAGCTCAGCCCTCAACGTGCACCTGAGGATCCACCGAGGGGAGAGACCCTACAAATGCGAGGAATGCGGAAAAACCTTCAGGCACAGCTCGGCTCTCGGCGCGCACCTGAGGATCCACGCAGGAGCCAAGCCCTACGAGTGCAGTGAGTGTGGGAAAAGCTTCCGGAAAAGCTCAACACTTAAAGTGCATTTGAAAATCCATGCAGCCAAGAAACCTCATAAATGTACAGTGGGTAGGAGAGCTCTCAGTTCCCGCTCACTTCTACCGTAGTCCAGGATAGGAAACAAAAGCAGTCTTCTCTTGTGTGGAGGACATGTGAAAAAGGGCGGGTGATGAGAACCGCAATGGAGAAAGACTAACTGGTGACAGGGTCACTCTGATATCAGGGCTGGATGCTTAATGCCAGTGGTTAAAAAGTCCATTATGAGGCCTGGAAGCAGTGAATTAATTGTAAGAGCCAAGTGCTGGTGGTTTAGGAAGGGTACTGACAGCCTGAGGAACGGGGACCAAGTTTTGGGTAATTCGGGGACTGTGAATCTATGGTAGAACGGAAGTGGAAAACTAGGCTTTTAAAGTAACTTTTTAACTGAAGAAAAGATCAAAATAAAAAGCTCAGGCTGGTTCTGACCGAAAACTTTGGCTTGTCAGATGCTGTAGCAGTCTTAGAAACTCTGTCTTTTTCTTACCTTATTTTTCATGAATGTAGTAATTTACCTAGTGTTTGACAAGGCACTTGCAATTCCTTGAGTCTGAGGCTCTGGAGCTGGACCTCAAGTCTGTTTGTCTTTTCTTCCTCTTTTCCAAATGACAATGGATTCCTACCTCCACAAGCAAAATCTGTGTGACGTGATATGTGAGTAACGCAGAACGGAAGTGGCTGTTCCAGAAAACATGGCTACAAACTCCGTTTTTGGTTGGAATGCTGCCCGTTTGGGAGCTTTACCAAAATTTGTCTTCTCTGGTTTGAAACACCTTCCACACCTTGTGACATCAGTAAAACACAGGCAAAAATGTGGCCTTACCTTGTTTAACCAAAAAAAAAAAAAACCCATCCCCTAGATGTCCTAGTCAGATTGAGTACACCTGACGGGTTCCTATTGGTAGTCTAGAGATTGCAATTTTCTAGTCCTTTTTATGATAGAGTACTCTTCTGTAGCTTACTATTGTTTGTAAAGTAGTAACATACGAAGCTCAGCGTAACGTTTAGGAATTACTGTGATTAAATTTATGACTATGTTAATGACTGTACATTACATAAACCTTCTTTATATTGCTATGTTTTATTACTAGGCACGTGTTTCCATCCTGAATAAAAACCTCTTTTTCTCTGCATAATCCCGTTTCCTGCCCCGGTGTGTGATAGAGAGGGGGAGCGATGCTGTCAAATGGGGGTCAGGCCCGCGCGGTGT